ATAATTTTATATATACACACACACACACACACACACACACACACACACATATTGTATATATACACAACATACAGAGAACACTTTAAGAGAATTATAAAGGAAAACACTAAGCAATTATAAAGATGGCAAACAAATGAATAATTGAAATGTATTTGGTATCATGCAAGATATTGGGAACGAATGTCTATTAAATAATTTGCAGCAATACATATTATTATCAGCTGCATATGTAATCTTTCAAGCTACAGATGCGACTTATAATACAAAAGTAGAATACTCCTTTTATTACAATAATGTATTAAAGTAGGACACTTTATTGCATTTGTCTTTCGATGATCTCAGGAGATAATAAGAGATAAAAATTTAAAAAAAACATATCTTAAGATAACATATCGTAATTATATTTATTTATGATTTGTTACAAAATATAAATTACATATTCTCGCAATATTTACAATAAATAAACCTGAAAACCTTGCATTTATTGTAAAACTTCAAATATACATATCACAGTTGAATATTTATATTCAGAAATTATTACAAACTAAATTGCAAATGTACAATATGAATTATGAGAAATTTTTGAAAACAAATATAAAGAGGATCGCATATATTTAACAAATCTTAATTAATGGAGAAATTTTGATTCAAGAATCAGTACAAAGGAAATTTAATTATATATTTACAACTAGTAACATTTTTCCCAATTCTTATAGGATTATTGAAAACTATACATTAATATATACTTATATATATATACATTAATATATATTATATACATTAATATTTTAACACTAAACTTGCCATTCGTTCATTGTTCTTTAACTCATTGTTCATTGACTCTTCTTTAAGGCTCAGTTTTCTCGCGACGCGATATGAGTTGTGTGTCAGAGGCGAGAAATGACATGTAAAAAGTTTCTTGCGTCATATAGCTTTATTTCTTATACTTTTCCTTTAAAAACATATTTTCGTATTCTTAAAACTTGTAAAAAATATCAGAAAGTAAGATATCTGTCCAATAAATCACGTAAAAGTGTAAAATAATTCTTGAACTAATCATTCTTCAGCTATCAGAAACAACTAGATCTAGTGATCTGGTAATTTCTGAGCTAAGCAATGTATTTCAAGATTTATTTTACACTTTTACATGATTTATTGGACAGATGTCTTTCTGATATTTTTTACAAATTTTAAGAATACGAAACTATCATGTTTTTAAGGGAAAAGTACAAGATAAAGCTATACGACGCAAAAAACTGTTTACATGTCATTTCTTGCCTCTGACGTTATAATTCAATATGGCTGCAGAAAGACAACTGAGCCTTAAATATTAAATTTAGATTCTTTCGTTGAGAATTGATTATCTCTTCATGTCACAGTATTTTAAGATGTTTTGCATTAAATGATAAAAATCTTTTTAAAAATGAATGCAAACTCTAATTAACTTAACATTAAACACTAAAAAATATTCGAATTGTGTAAAGATGAAAAGAATTTGACAGAATATCTAAAGTGACAATTTGAATAATCTCTTTAAAGTGAACATGAAAGTTTTCTCTCTATATATAAATTTAATACATTCTATTTTTAATTATGTCTATAAATTCTTTTTCTCTTTTTCCTCTCCCTTTTCTTCATTTTTTTTTATTCAACCAATCTTTTACAACAGCGCATTATGAACATTCTTTTACGTAATCGCTACATTCAGTTTGTTGTATCTTTTAAATACAAAAAGCTTATCAAATTAATGTAGAAAAGAGTTCATTAAAAATTTGTATTTTTAAAAATTTGTATTTGTATTTTTCTCCAAAGTATCTTGCGTTATGCGTGTAGTTACTTGCAAAGGTATCGAAAATAATTTTTCCCATGGTGGTTGAATAGAACCGATTACAGCTTCGACGGCACCAGGAGAAACAAATTTCAAGATCCAGCTTTCCTCAAGGCCAGCAATCTCATCCAAAAAATTCAAAGTTAATAAAGTATCATAGTGTTCCTGAAAATATGCTGTATTAATAAGTCCAATATATAGTGAATATAACTGCGTACGCGCATATATATTTGAAATTAGTATGTATTTATGTATTTGTGTGTGTGTGTGTGTGTGTGTGTGTGTCTGCTGTGTGCGCGCGTGCGTGCATGCGTGCGTACATACATCAGTAAAACATCTAGTATAGTTGTATACATCTAATATTTTTTAAATAAAATTATACTAGGATTGCATAAGGTACAACTGTTTAAAAACATCCATTGTTTACATTGTCTCTTCTTAAGTAATAATTAATAGAAATTAATCTGTAGTAATCTGAAATTACTAACTATCCCAATCAAATTGCTCATAGCTTGTTCTCTAGCGATCAAAGGCATTTGATCACTCCCAGGTACAAGCCATTGAATATTGTCTTTCAACATAACCAGCGTTGAATTCGTCAATATTAATCCAGATAATTTTAATTTGGTAGTGACAGTTTGATGTTTCAAAATCGCAAAAGAGAACAATGCCAGTAATCGTATAACATCTCCAGTCTGATAATTGGCAGTATTCATTAGTAGATTGTGCATCAAAGTGCTGCAACGTTCTGGAATAGAGAATTCCACTTCGCAACTTGCGGGTAATTGTAAATCTATGAACAGAAATAAAATAAATTATCTTGTTTATATTTGAAGCTTTAATTCTGAGACTTTTATATTTGAGAAATCTCATCAAATCATTGCAACACATTTTACCTGTGATATAAAATAAAAAGTTTGATGTTCTCTGAAAGTCTTGTAAAATACATAACAGAATAATAGAGAGATGTTCCTCGCTGACTTTGCCTGACTGCTGTAGTTCAATCAAAACGCCCTGCTTAAATGGCAGCGGTACAAAGGATCTTAATCTATCTGTCGTCCAACTGATCTCTTTGTGAAGCCAACGCTGTGGATCTTCCCTATTACAAATTCCTTTTCAATAACAGAAAAAAATAGGCGCAATACTCAAGAATAAGTAGAATCTCAACAAATTCTTTTTTTTTCATTGATTCAGCTGCTTTCCAATTAAGAATGAAGGTTTTTCTTATAATTTATAATAAATAAATAAAACTACATAAAACTATAGTATCTTTAATTAATATCGAACGAAATTTAAGGATCAAGTTTGATTACGAAGATATGTATATATAGTATAATCTTTTAAAAATTAAAATAAATAATAATCAAATTTTTATTGAATGATACAAAGAGACAAACATTTTACTTTTTTTTTAATTTTCGTAATTTTGAACATCCAAATTTATTATTATAATTAATTCAAACAGTACAACCTTACCCTTCTGGCCCATCGATTCTAAGAACGTAAACTTTGGATGTAGATAATACCAAGCATCCAGGAAATGTCTCTTGCATAGAATGCATTAAAATCTCTGCCTATACAGGTGAGACTTACATGAAAAAAATGATATATCTATTCTATGATTCTATTTAATTTGAATTTGAGTTTTTGCTCAAATTGAATTTAATGAATTATAACATTTCAAACCAGATACCTTAAGAAGAAGTACAAGCTCTTCATTTTCATGCTCAAATATATTTAGAATAATATGTAGCTTAATTCTATGATCTATACTGCTAAAATTGGTATACGAGTATTGCACATTACTGCCAAAAAAGTTGGATGCTTCTTCATTCTTCAAGTCTCTATTGCTGCTGATTTTGATACTTTGTAGCAAACCTGAAAATGACACAGAGATACAAATACTATAGAAACATTTATATTAAATACCAAAATATAACATCTGATAACATAATTAATAATATAATAAGTATCATTTTAATTGCTTATATAAATTGTAATAAAACTAATATACCAAGCAAAAGTATAGTATTTGTTTTATTCGCGATCAAGTATTTTTAATAATATCCAATTATCTTATTTGCTTATGAAAATATGAGTTTGTTAACTCATATTATACCTCCTAACATTGATGTCAAGTTTGTCACAGAAGCAAGTCCAACTTCTTTTTCGACATCGCTATTGTGGGACTTCGTATCAATGTTTATTGATTTAACCACTTTACTTTCATATGCTGTGCATATACTATCTGTCAATGAACCTGTACATAAAATCATTTTTACAAATGATAATACAAATAATAGAACACTATTTATAATATTCAATTTAATTTCTAAAGAAAAATCTAATTTCTAAATCAATCTAATTTCTAAAGAAAAAAATAAAGAAAAGAAAAATCTAAATATATGAATCATAATAAAATTAATGAAGCGTGACAGTCATTGACTTATTAATTATATTCAATTATTTGCTAAGAGAGCAAAAAATGACAAAATACAAACCTGAAGAACTACTTTCCGTTAGACCTGCCATGACTGGCGTTACATCTGGAATTGTCATTAAAGAAGAAGCAGTCGCAGTACATTTTTCTTCTGTTGAGCGTTTTCGATTTGGTGTCACATTTGGCCTTTTGCATCAATAAATATACGGTTGAAACATGAGATAATAACGTTAAACATTCAATTTCTTTTTTTTTCAATATATATTAATAAAATACCTACCTTACTCATTTTTTAATGTTTATATAATAGGTGATTCATATACAAAATGTAAAGCATTATAAATAAGTATCATTGTAACAAATAATAACTATAAGGAAGAAGCTTACTAACTTTAATGTTTCATCTAAAACTTCGATGCTGCTCTGGCTTGGATTACTGAGTATCTCTATGTCACTCTCGTATTTCTTCGTCAGGGTATTTGTAAAAGGTGTCGATTCCCTCGACTCTTCTAAACTCATCGCTGAACCTGATCATAAATATTAATTCATAAAAAGAATAGTAATATTCTATTTTTACATTATCTGAAAATTAAGAAAGAAAAGAATAAACCAAAGAAATTTGAAATTCAATGGATTTTTCTTATAGATACATCACATCACGCTTATAGTAATAAAAATTACAAATACTTATATAATGCTGAATAGAAAAGATTTAAAAAAATTATTACTAAATATAAATATGCAAATTTGTAATTTATATAAAGAAATTTTATTATCTATCAACCGCTAAGTTTTATTTCTTGAAACTGAAATTCTCATCTGATTATCTTTCTAGATAAAAATATAAAAACTATTAATTTCCAGTGATTGAACGTAGTTGACGGAGAATATAGAAAAAATAAGAAAAAAGAAAAAGGAAAAACAAAAAGAAAAGAATGGAACATAGATAAAAAAACAGAGAAAAAGAGAGAGAGAGAAAAAGGAAAATGCTGTAATGTAAATTATTGTGATTGAAGCTTACAGCAGATTTGAGCTTGGATGTGAGAGTCGGAGTGCACCAGAGAAGTGGTGACGGATTTAGCTCCACCCTCCATTCCACCTGCACCGGTATTAGTATGTTATAGTTCCCATCAAACACAATAAACATACAAATACGCGCACGCATATTGGTCAATGTAGTAGCCGTGTTCGCGCGCGCGCGCGCGTGTGTGTGTGTGTACGTGCCTGTGTGTAGCACACATACACATCAATCATCATTAAAACGTCATTCTTGAATTGATTAATCGGCCAAAAATCAGGGGTTTAAATTATTCTTTTAAAGTCAAGAGATCAGGCCAACTTTAACGCAATTAATCGTTTTTACGAATTATACATAGCCATTTATAATTTATAAGGCAAAAACAATTATAAAATTCAAATGTATATTTTTGCAATTTTATTTTCCACATGAATAAAAAGTTGTATTGTTCTCTCTATTGTTATTATTTTTTTAATAAGAATCTAAATCTCTCTCTTTTACATTACTTGTTATTCTATTTTTCGCAAAGATTGACATTTTTGAGATACTAATACTCAATGTTATATTAATATCAAAAAACATATGTCATATTAATATCAAAAAAATTGCAATATTGCATTTAGAATCTGTGCAATTTGTGCACATTGTTATAAATTTTCATCTAAAGAACTCTACATGCAATACATAATAGTACTATATTGGCTTACCGATACTGGAAAATGATTCAGAATGTACTAAGTTGAGCCTTGTTGAAGTTTCCATTGGCTGAATCTTTTCAACTTGATTGTCCATATTAGATGAAGTTTCTATTTCAATAACCAAACTGCTGTTGCAAGTAGGACATTTGAGTTTTACACCTTAAAAAAGAAACAATAAATTTTACAACTATCTCCAAAAGTGCATCATATTTTTGCAAAACAAACCTGTCATTGATTTAACAGTAAGTGTCACATATAATTCCGGATCTTGTGAGAATTGCGTCGAACATTTCATACATTTGAAAATCCTTAACAGTATCGGCCGCCTCTCGATTTGTTCGCTAATTATCGCCACTATTTTCTAAAAAATAAGATTATGCTATAAAATATGTAAAATCATATCGAAGTGTTTCTCAGTACCTTTGCATCTTTTGCCTGTGCAAAATATCGTCTGTTCTCTCTATCTTTCCTAGTAGTATCAAAAATAATATCAACAGTAGGTGGATCACTCCTACCCAGAACACAAGACAATAGCGAATTTGTTGACCAACAAAATTTTATTTTTCCAGTAATCACATCTCGTTCTTTGATATCTCTGCAAATGTTGCGATAACAATTTTTATTTTAATAACAATATATAGAAAATATGTAGTATTAGGGGAAACCTGCTTCCAGCAGGTTACAAACAATTGAAAACATTGGTCTAACAAGATACAAATGCAAGTGTGTACAGCAAAATAGCGTCTTACTCGGGGGTTATCACCAAGAAGACATTTTCCAGTTCAGTCTCGTTTTTTCTTTTTTGAACGATATATACATCTCCAGCTTCTAAGATAAAAAAATATTCAAACTTATTATGCTTATATCGCTTAATATATTTCGCGCAAATTTTTTACCTTCATTAGGATCATATACGCTCATAGAAGTAGTATATATCTCTGGAAGATTGTCCAAAATTTCTTCATTCTGTGGAATCTCTTTATTGTTTTCAATGTATTCTGCAATCCTTTGTTCCTCAGACTTATATTCATTATCTGTTATATAAATTAGAGTATCTTGTAGAGATGATATTGTATTAATATTAGCCAAAGTCTGTAGCTTAGATATTTGCAATTCTGGATATTGCAAAGCAGAATGAAGGCCCATAATGTCTTGGACAAAAGTTCCTGCATGATTGCTCAACCAATTAATCTCGCCAAATTTTTCTCGCAGATCCAAAATGCGTTTCTTTGTCTCCAAGTAATCCTTTGATGACTCTAAAAAAGGATAAATTAATATAATTAAGTAACAAAAATATACAGGGTGTCTTGTTTTTGAGATTTTCGAAATCAATAAATAGATCTTTTTAAACCCTACAATTTTTATTCGAAACTTTTGTGTAAAATTTATATTTTTCGAGGTATTCAGGGGTCCCGACCTTTTTGATATATCCTGTATATCATTTTATTATTATATTATCAATCATTATATCGTGTCACATTTATTAAATATTTATAAAAAAATTTTCACACCTAAATGAGAAGATGCCACTACATCAGGCAATTTCTTAAATTCTTCTTTTCCCTGATCGATCTCATTAATGATAGCTTCTTTGACATTCGGCTTCCTTTTATTTTTTGTAACATTTTTTTCTAGATTTTCGGATAATGATATTGTTCGTGTCTGATTTGATCTATCTTTCTTAAATTCTTCTTGTAAATTAACATTTGTAGATATCGAACTAGTCAAAGATTGATTCGTGGGTATCGCAAAAATTCGATTTTCCGCGATTAGCATTTTTTCTGAACTGGAAAGCAGTAGATGGTCTAAAACAAACTGTAAAAATTTATTTAAATACATATCATATCATATTATAATTAATATATATCAGTATTATTTTTTATGAATCTTAATGTACATTGATCACATAGATACCTTGCTATTCGATAAATTCGAATGCAGATGCTTTATAGATAAAGTCCGATGTTTTGGATGATATGATAAAGGATTTCCTTCTAAGGATAACCATAATAAGGTAGACATCCTTCGTAATGGCCAAAGAATCAAATGCTCCATTAAACAATTAAATGATAAATCTAATTCTGTCAGACATTCTAAATCTTGAAGACCTATCATACAAATTAACAATAACAGAAATAGATAACATATTATTATATATACATGCGCATATATATTCACAAGTACATTTAATAAATTCTGCAAACATTTTTAAATGAATTAGAAATAAAATATTTATGAGAAAAAAAAGAAAATATTTCAATAATGACCAACCATTCAAGTTATCAATATAATTGTTCTTCAACACCAATACTTGTAATGAATATAACACTGCCATATTAAATATAGGTACTTGTTCTAATTTATTATAGCCCAGATTCACATATCTCAAGTTTGATAAGCAGGATATTTCCTTAGCGTTAGTTATCATGTTATGACTTAAATCTAATATTTGAAGCCAAGGTGCTAATTCTAATGATTCATCCAGATATTCAAGACCATTATGAGGCAATACCAAGTATCTTAAGGATGCCCATACAAAACCAGCTCCAGCATCACCTCCACATGCAGCTACAAAGATATATAAGTAATTAAGAACAATCTAATATATATAAGTATAGAAGATTATAATTTATATTATACCAACTATACACCAAATATACATATAATCAATTTTATGTTGACTATTACTTTATATATTTAAATCCTACCTAGTAATTGATAAATTGTGGATACTCCCTTTCTACCAGTACATACAATGCTCTCTAACTGACCTCTAACACTCTGTAGACCTTTTAATAAATCTATAGAAACCTTTTTCAGTTCTAAATATTTTAAATGTTTGAACTTAGAAATATCGATAATAACTCTAATATCAGAAGAATAATGCGTCACTTTCAAACCTATAGTCTTTTGCACAAAATCATATAGAAATTTTACATCATGAAATATATCAATCTTAGAGCTGTTACACACATGAAATGAAGAGTCCAAATCTTCAGATTCTGGCACAATCAATAAGAATGTTTCATTGAGACTGTGCAATAATTTTGTCGACAGGGAAAGTTTGCTAGAAGCACTCAAAATCTTATCACCATTCTGACGAAGAAGTCTTACCAGCTCTATTATTTCTGATATATTAATTATATCCTGTAATTGGCTCATTATCAACGTTTATTTACTTGCTACTGAATAAATTTTCTATATTGTGTTGCATAGCATTATATTTAAAAAATGGATTCACACCTCGTCAGGTGATTTCGTGCTTCATATTTAGCTAAAATGATAATATTGTCTCATTAATATTAAGAAAAATTTATTATAGTTTATAGTTTCAATATCGAATTCATAAATCCTTTAATTAAAAAAAATGTAAGATTTACAAAAATATGAAAGAATAATGGATAATAAATAAGCTATATTCAATAAATATCTAATTCAAATGATTCATTTTTGATATAAACAAAAATATAATCTTGATATAAAAATATAATCTTGTAAATCTTTCTTTTACAAAAGATAATTTGAAAAAAGAAAGTAGTTACTTTCAGCACAAGAAGAAAACCAAGCATTAAAAATGACAGATTTTCTAATCTTTAAGATATACCATTTTTTTTAAAGTAATCAGACAGTTCCAAATTAATTTTCTAAACCGAGTTTCTTTTTCGTAGAGACATCAAAGTTGAATTAAATAAGTAAAATAAAAATTAAAAATTTCTAATAGAACATAATTATCGATAAAATACACACCAATGATAATCAAAACATTTATATTTAATGCGCAATTATTAAATAATTATGGAGTATTAACACAGAACAACGAATGGCCATAGATCTAATAAAAATGGCTGCGTTTCAGCAGAGAAAGTAGCTTTGCAACTGTTGTAAAAATCTTTGAGTGCATTCGTTTAAGGTGAATTCCCATTGAGCGCGTCACGCGTCGCGTCATCCATTGCGTTATGATATGCGCGAGATAAATTTAAAAATAGCGTCGTTCTTATTCACATTGAATGCGTCGCTGCTGCCGCATTACCGCAAATCAACACAACATATGAGCGAGCACTAATCTGATATCAAAGTAAAATCGTACATAAACATAACCTCTCTTTCTGTATATATATTAATTTGTGTGAGATACTAATTTGTGCGAAATAAATATCTTAAGATTGGCAGCTTAAGATGAATCTTTAAAAATGTATATGTATATATATATTTACATATTGTAAGAATTAGACGATCGTAAGCGGTCATGAAAGAGATTCGGAATATAAAGAGCTAACAGAGAGGAACCGCCGTGGTCGTGCAGACTAAGTGTCAGATTAGTAAACGAGAGATCCCGAGTTCAAATCCAGTCGGTCTCCGTTTATTTTTCCGAATCTAATAAATATCTTTCAATATTATATTATTCAATTATTCAATATTATATATATTATTTTAAAAATATATTATTTTAATTCAAGTGTTATTTCTTTAATTTGTGTTTATAGAATTATAAACGTGCGCAATTTGGGATCCATTTTCTCCTTCTTGTTGGGAATCCTTTTGTCTCTAGAATGTCGAGCAATCTAACCGATGCGTCGTGCAAAGAGTCGCGCGGCAAATGATACAATTGTTACATCCGGGGGAGCCTAGGGATAATTTTTTTTGCTACCTTTTCATCTTTTCGTTTTGATCATTTTATTTCTCTCTCTCTTTCTCTTCCTCGCGAACATCATAAACCGCCGTAATGAACGCAGCGGTCAGTTCCCTCATCGTACAACGCTACGCGACGGCGCATCTCCGCGATAATTATATTCCGTTAGATATTAAGTATTCCGCTAGAACGTAAGTAGAGTGTAAGCTCCATAAGATCTATCCTTTGCGCAACCTTTACGCATTATGGCGCGCTTCTCTGTTCCCCCATTACTCAGAAAAGTGAGGCGCGCGAAAAACCAAGGACCCGAGAGCGCCATTTTAACGCGTCTCTTCAGTCACTTGGCGCGCAGTACTAAATCTGAGAGGTCCCATCCCTTCAGATCTCTCCCGCGTTCAATTACGACCGTTATCTTCCAAATTCTAGTGTACTTGATTTCAAGTTTAATTCCAAATTCTAGTTTTAGTTCCAATTCTTAGCGTAATTCAAATTCATGTAATAATCCTAAGTTTTAGTAGTTGCAATTTAATATTAACTAAGTGACGCGAGTGCTTTAGAAATACAGTGTCATCAATTGAAAATAGTCACCTGTCTTATTATTATTATCATTACCCTCTACTTTCTTTCCAACTCCGCGATCACCGCGTACCAACGAACTACCGCAAACTACGCGACCACCAAGAAACTCTCACGAATGCACAACACGAGCACCCGGGAGACGTCACCATACCCCAGGTCACAACCGCCCACCACTCCAGAAGAGGATCCGCCCTGGGGAATACTTCATTGTCGCACAGCCGCATCCAAGACTTGAACCCGTCTCAACTTCGGGTACGTGAAAGTAAAAAAATCAAGAATCAAACCATATTGCATTATGCGCGCGGATCGAGACTTTCCTGACACGCTCGTCAAGAATTCAAATAAAAAAAAAAGAGAAAATGGCCGACCAACGCCGACCCTTATTTTATGGCACTTTCTTTTCGCGCCTTACCTATTCGAAGCGGATCTGGGCCCGAGTTCTCAATTAGCTTGAGGATATTCCTGAAATAATACTTTAACAAAATTTAAAATAGTAAGATCAATCATTTACGACAAATTGTAGAAATCGTGACTATAATAAATAATGATTCACACTGGTTCAGATCCGCAATGTGTCCGGGCGAACGTCTAGGCGACGTTCAGCGCCTCACCTCGCCTGCCGCCGTATTTAACTATCACGCTAGCAACGTCCGATGCGCCACCGATTTTGCGTACCGACGAGTAGAAACCGGGCCGAAACAGTACGGGGTAGAAACAGTACGAAAACAGTACGAAAATTGCGCGGTGACAATTTATTTCCGCTGTAAAAAATTGATCCCGGAGGGCACCATCACCTTTCGCCTGGCACTATCCCATTATCTGCAAGTGGGCCAAAGGAAGCCGTCGAGTACTGTGAGTGCTTATACTTCATTGAGCATCGTCCGGGAATTAGAGAATTGCGCGGTTGTCTCCAAGCGTTTGTCGATCTCCAGGTCCAATTAAAACAGACCGGTGAAATTTTTGAACACATTCGGACTCGGGTATACATTGACCGATCTTACCCCGCTCCGGGCGTGATTTTCTCGCGCAAGTTAACCAACTTCCTGCTTTCTCTACATAACACCAGAGTCTAGAGGAGAGGAAAAGGAAAGGGAGAGAGCAGCTGTGAGCCGTGGGGTTTTGATTGGTTGATTCGTGACGACTTAAAGATTTTTACAACAGTTGCAAAACTGCTTTCTCTGCTGAAACGCAGCCATTTTTACTAGATGGCTATTTGTTGTTCTATATGTTACTAAATGTGTGTGTCTAAATTTTTTATTTAAAAAGTGCAAAGTCGCGCAAAGTTAATAAAAAAATATCTTATTAAAAAATTATTAAAAAATTTTTTATTTATTATTATCATTATTTTCATAGAAAGAAATGTTTAATACAAAAAATATTACAATATATAAATTCAAATTTATTACGAACTTTATTTTATATTTCATATAAAATTATTTAATATTTCATATAAAAAAAGTAAAGAAAAGATTATCTTTCAACAAAAATGTTTTTATGCTTCATTGGTTCACGATGATTGATCCGATCAATACTGAGACAGAGATCATTGACACAGTTTACCAATTACGTAAAGGTGCCGTTCCATGGAGCGTATCGCGCGTATCGCGAATCACGCGTATCGAAAATCTGATCAATTACGGATGTTCCGCTATTTTTGATACACAGCCGCTCCGCCGAATCCATTATTGTAGCGTAACCGAACATAACATGCGTCAAATATAAAGCCAAATTTGGAATTTTCTTTAAGATAATAGAGATCGACATGAGCAATCAGAAAGATCTAATTATCGACAACATTTTGCGAGCTGTTTTCGTCTTTTTTTATAAAAACGATATCTTTCAAACGTTCCCAAATGATTTTGTAAATCTCTAACACTATTTTAGAGATGGGTATCGTGTCCAACACGGAAGGCATATGATAATAATTGCATACTATTTCCTGATGCCAAGTACCTGATAGTATATGCAATCTTGTTTCAGGTGGAATAGTTTTTTGAACCACAGATTGTTTAGTAATCGATAATTTGATACTATTTGTAACAATTTCTCAAAAAGTGTCAGTTCCAATTGGAAATAATTAACGAATTTTTCATGATCTTATTGCTCCAGTTCATTAACGAGATTATTGCTCGTTCTTTGTACTAATCATCGTTCAATACTAAATATTGGATTGACCCAATATTTTCGTTTTCCTTTATCAGCTTTTTTTCACTTTTTATTAATGTATAATAAAGTGCATATATCTTAATAATTTTACAATATATTTTCTGCCTGATGAAAGTATTATGATTGTGTTTTAGACACTTTGTTAATAACAAAAGCCAAAGGAATATTGTTCTTGATTTCATTTAACTGTTAAACCAATTGTGAATTTTTTTCATTTAATTATATTAAACAATGAATATTTAATTAAATATCTATAGTGTGTAATATATATGTTAAATATCTATAGTGTGTAATATATACAAACATTATATATATTATATTAATTGTTAATTAAATTAACAATTAATATTTAATTAAATTTAATTAACTATTCTTATTTAATTAAATTAGCAATTAATATTTAATAAAATTTAATCAAATTTACTTACACACTATGAATATTTTTTTCGCCTGTTTTCTTTCTTTCTATTACTGCGTTTACACGGCGACGTTAAACCGATTTAGTAACAAGTAGTTAGTGATTTCTTGTATTTAATTGGATCACAATTTTAATTTAAAAGAATGTACCAATCTGACGTGAGATTTCACTAACTACAGTTGTTACTAAGCCGGATTAAGGCTAGTATCCCATGGCGCGGAAATCCACAGCGGAACAGAACGCGCGAACCAATCACAGCAAAAGCTAGAACAGAATGAACGAGTTTTGTTTTGGTTCTTTCGCTGTTATTGATTTGCGCGTTCCGTTCCGCTATGGATTTCCGCGCCATGGAACACCAGCCTAACGTCACCGTAGTATATGATCCTATCATAGGAAGAATGTTCTCACAGGTTTTACAAATAATTAAATAATTTTAATTATTTGATGCTTACGCGATTCTCTTTAGCAATTCTGTCAAAAATAAGAAAATGACTGCGTAGAGGTCAGATTCGTTTCTATCGCGAACTTTTCGTTGTTTTCGATACGCGAGAGTTTCGGAGTTCCTTGGTCCCATGAAGCGGAATGAGCATAAACAAATCGGTTTACCAATTAGAAAACTGTTTAGATGAAGGGAAATAATGAAAATCGTTTATGATTGGCTATCTGTCTGATCCGCTTACGCGAATTTCGCGTCATGGAACTAAGGATGCCGTCACATGCGGCGTAACTTGCGTAAGCGTAATTTGCGTATTCTAGTATTTTAAAACACGTTACGCCATTCTGAAAGCCTTCTTTCACATAGAGCATATTTCGCGAAATTTCGAGAAATGCATAATTAATACAACCAATTGCTGATTAGGATTTCTGTCGTACTCTCTAACAGAAATGCTAAATTAATTTGTGATTGATTCTTGTAATCTGCGTATCTGGAAAAGTACGTTTCATGGGGAACCGAGACTTTATGTACGAGTATGAGTACGAACAAACCAAGTAGATGTGAACCTGTGAGAATGTATTCAGAAGTTATTATGGACTCTGACCTGTTGTTATTAATAATATGGAAGCGATGGCAAAAGTGAAAGAAGATGAAACAATCTCAACAACAGAAAATTAGACGATATAATATTTTAATTGTTTGGAATATAGAAACTGATGGTATATCAACAGGAAAAAGCTCGTCATAGAATGTGGATGCGTTCGCAGAAAAACGAAGATTATTACAGGGTGACAGTGATAATCTGGTCAAAGAAATGGAATTTGAAGATTACGAA